AATTCACATATCAAAAACGCGTCAAAATGGGGGGGAGGGGGAAAAGTAGGTTGCATAGATTAAAATATATAAAAAAAACATTATTTTTATTAAGGAAAATGAGTTATACCATTTAATTACATTTCATTTTTTATTTTAAATACTACTATATTACACTACAGCACAAATTTCACGTATTCTGGATTGTTTCACCCATATCTAGAGGAAAATATTATAAAAGCATTTGCGGCCTTTGCTCTCCTCGTCTTCTCCCATTCACGCACTCGCCCATTGTAATATTTTATTCAAAGATTGTTATGGGCAAGGTTTCCTTTGGCAAAACTCTGCAATCCCACTATATGCGAAGGACAATTCTATGCAATATGAAAAATTTGTGGTCACGCGATGTTTCTGTCCACTCACGTGATCGTCAACCAATAGAATCTCAAGTATTAATTTTATCCTAGATGGTTTGATTTATCGAAAATTAATTTATACGTTTTTAGAGCTTCTTGGGGGAATGAATAGCGAATCCAAAATTATGAATTATCCTTCCCATCTAAAAATCATAATAACGTGCTTTTGTCATCTTAATTTTTTAAAATTTAGATTTTTCTATTAATATCATTGCGAAATTGTAATTCTAAAAGAAGTTAGATATTATAATAGAAACTAACTAAATATAACCTAGATCTTGTGAATATCAGCATATCAAGCATAAAGATTAGTCAAATATTTGCGTTACGTTACTTACGTTACTGATTTCGCTGCATAATTAACAACTACTTTTAGAATTACATTTCTTTTTATGTTAAAATGTTAAATTAAAAATTAATTCCGTCCCTCCTTTTTCTAAGTTAATTGCGCAGAAAAATGAATGTCGTACAAAAGGTCTAATTTTTTTGATGTCGCTCTTGAAAGAAACATTTCAATTTTGTAATTGTGGCTTTATTTCTTGTTAAATGTGGCAAAATTCCCGATATCGAAACGATTATAAAAAAATAATTACTGCATCTTTTGTAGAGATTTCATAACATAAAAATTTGTAAAATTAGTATATGATAGATACATGTGGTTTGTACTTTTGAAATTACTAATAGAATTCGACAAATATTAAAAGGGTCCCATCTTTATTCCTTTTACAGAATTTCATTAAACTGAAAAGGTTCCATTTTATTTGTTTATCGGTCGTTTTAATACATATAAAAGGGTCAATATCCCGATTTGTATTCACAATTAGAATTTTATCAATCTATTTGCCATAAATGTAAAACAAGGTGAGAAAATATTTTTGTACCGAAAAATATATATAAGAATTGCAAGAATATTTACATTATAAGTTTCGATAAATAGTGATGTATATTGCTCCTTTAAACATTTTTTACAAACAATTTGAGTGTTTCTTTTAATAAATAAAAAATATACTTTACATTGAACTTCGTATTGTAAAAATTTGTAATTGCCAAAATGGGAAACAATAACAAATTTCAAATTCGTTACTGATTTTACTGTTAATACTTGGATCGGGTACAAAACGAATATTACACCAATTATTTTCCCTATCCATGAAAAAGGCTTATTTGTGTGAAATTTCAATAAATGATTACTGATTAAATTTCATTGATGTAACAAATATTAAACTGGAAGAAATATTTCACACATCACGATTCACGATGGCCTTCGGCATTACAAACTAAACCATATATGGCAATCTATTGTGACACATCGATAGAATCGATAGACGATCACTAAAGTTGAAGCGTTCTTTATAATAAAATTTTCATGACTCATTTGATTAAAATTTTATCATTGAACGTGTTCACATGAAAGAACATATTCCAACTGTAATATATTATTTATTTTTATAAATTAATTTGAACAAATTACGACGCGGTAATAATTGAATTCACATTATTTTAGATAGATATATTCAACATTTCAACTGGTAGAATAAAGATAATCATTGTTACTAATAAGGTTACAATATTTACTTGATAGATGAAACATGAAGTTCGCGGAATTCACGGTTACAACAATATTAATTTGTGTGAAGAAATTCGTTGTAGAAATTCGTAAAATCATTCTTTGTTGTCTCATGTAATTATAATAAAGTTTTTAGTAATAATATTTTTGTCCATTCATAGATTACAAATATTGTTATTCGTAAATGTGTTTTTCTTATAAAAAAGCTCTGAAATTTCCTCTAGATTTTTTCTTTATTTTTTACAAAAAAAAAAAAAAAAAAAACACAATAACTTTCTCACATAACTCCATTATATATTATCAAATATCAAATATTATCTCAATTATACAAATAATATCAATATCATATCTTATTTACTATATATCTTATTTCGCCTCATCCATCGTCGCCACTATTTACATATTTTAAATTTTATACGTTTTACTATTAGTTCTTTATATTTTTTTATTATTTTATTTTCTTTTATCTTTTATTTCTTTTAATTATTTATTTTATATTACTATTTATAGTTTAATGAATATATTATCTCTTTAATATTTTACACGTTCTTTTAATTCTTTATATTTCTACTTTTATTTTCTTTATATTTTTCTTTCCTTATATATATATTTTNTTTTTCTTTATTTTTTTACTTTTATTTATTTTATATTTTATATTATATTTATTGGCGTGATGGAGCCTCCAGGTGGATTAGTTATAGGAAATATGTTAATTTTAAGATCATATCACGCGTGGAAGAGTGATTTTGAGGAGAGGCGGTTGAACCGTTTTGGACAGGGTTTGGGCAGGTTTTGGACAGTCTTTATGCTCAAAACCTGTCCAATCAATAATAATTCATTTGATATATGAATCATTCTTAAAAGAGAGGGCTTCCTGTCAACGCATCAGGAAAAATACTTTATTTCCTGTGCCAATGCATCAGGAAAAATACTTTATTTCCTGTATCAATACATCAGGAAAAATACTTTATTTCCTGTGCTAATACATCAGGAAAAATACTTTATTTCCTACAATACACCAGGAAAAATACTTTCCTCGAAGCCTATTCATCAGGAAAAATACTTTATCTTTGTATCCTGATTATAATCACCAAGAACAACTTCGTTTGTATGAAAAGTATTATGAGAAGAGGAAAAATTCCACGTCGTTTTACAAAAAACAAGAATTTTCTTATTATATTATTAATTATTTTTCATTTCATGTATTCATTTTTTAAAAAAAAATAAAAATAAATAAATTTTGTAATATAACATAAACATTTTTAACCTTACAATTTTCTATTGTCATTTAACCATTCGCTGATATGGTGAAAACATAACGCGCATATATTGTTTTTTGTATGTAAAAGATAAAAATTAAACGTGATAGCTACTTCAGTAAATAGCCAAGCATTTGATTATAACTTATATTGTTATCACTATATGAAGCATATATTTATTTATTTTAACAATTAAATATTATATGCGCATTTTAGTCACATGCATTTTTTGCTTACTAATGAAGTACTTTTTTTTTTTATAGATATCAGTTGTTTCAGAAGTTCTGAACTAGTTCGGGAGTTTCAGACTTCAACAATCCATGTCCAATAGCGTTTCACCTCACAATTTTACCAAGTCAAAATCAACCTAATCCACCACAATCTAATATCCATCTTCGCTTAATTCGTTTGGTATTAGTATAATGCTCCTCAGGCAATAGTTTCGAAAGAGTTGGCATAAAAACTTTGGAAATAGCTGTTTGTTGGAATCGAACCTAATATTCCAAACCATTAACAACGTAGTTTAGAAAAAAGTAATATTATTAATAAAATATTATGTATGTAATAACGCGTATAATAAATGAATTTTAATTAATACCTAATATTATAATATAACATGAGATATCACCGTATTTTGATCATCTAAATATCATTGATACCAATATGATTATGATATTTATACGATATGAGTATACCTTAAATGCAACTATCTGCGCCATTTATAGGAGAGATACATGTGGATTATCAGTAATTATCAGGTGACTGATATATTACTGATATCCCCATCATATCAATAATGCATATGTCAAAAAAAAAAAAAAATTTTTTTTTCGTTTGTTATAAAATTTAAAGAGTTTACTTTGGAGGAAGTCACCATTCAAGCTCAAATTTTAGGTAACTTTACACTAATTATTCGCGAATTTTGCAAATTTTACAAGGTTTTTTGTACTATTATATATTATACAGTATATTCTTGCTTAGATTAACAAAATAATATTTTTAAAAAAAAAAATAAAATAAAAAATTTTTTTTTTTTTTTTTGGCAATGTTTTAGTTTTACCAGTTTTATAAAATTATATCCAAGTAATGTAACACCTTTTTTTAATGTATTTTTAGGGCATTTATATTACAACAAAACGTTTTCAAACTTTGTGAAAACACCATTCAGAAGCAATAGTATTTAATATAAAAATGTCCGACGAGATTAATTATAGATTTCCGATCATTTTGTATCGCTAAGTGGCGAATCGGCAATTAATATTAATATTATCAAATTAAGTTTTGAAAGAATTTTGTAGTCTACAAAATTCATGATTTGTGAAAGAGATTTTTTAGAAATCGTTAACTCAAGAAAAAAGTGTTTATAAGAAGTTAGCTGAGCGCGTTTATGAAATTTATGCATTAAGATATTCACTTTCATTTAAAGTTGAATCAACGAAACTTCTGAAAGCTTCGTTAACACAACTTTCCAACTCCTGTGAGGAGGAACGAAATAACATTATTACAAATGAGGGGGTACGAAATAACATTATTACAAAAGAGGAGGAACGAAATAATATTATAGAAAATGAAGAGAAACATATATATATATATACCGTATATCTTTTTAGTATTGATACTATTTTACAATTCTAAAAATTTACTGATATTTTGTAAAGCGAATTATATGAAAAAGCATTATTTCCAGTAGTATAATTCAAGATAGTCTGATTTTGCCAACAAGAAATTAACTTTTTTTAATAAAAACCTATTTTCTTCATGAGATGAAGACTTGAAGAATCAAATAGTATGATTACGGATGAGAAGGAACGAAATATTATTACAGATATGGAAGAACTTTGTATAATGGACAAAAGTGAACGAAATATTATTACAGATATAGAAGAACTTAATATAAGCGAACGAAATATTATTACAGATATAGAAGAACTTAATATAAGCGAACGAAATATTATTACAGATATGGAGGAACTTAATATAAGCGAACGAAATATTATTACAGATATGAAGTAAATAATGTCAAATCAGTTCGAACCAGACTGAGCCAAGTCTAAATTGGGTTTTTAATATTTATAGAAAACAAAAGTGTGAAGGAGAAGACCATGTAAGTTCAGTTACCATTTTAGTACAAATATTTATATCAAAATTGGTGTGGTGATATTTTATGGTGACATAATATTCAAAAGGTTGCAAGCAATTATCAATAGAGATTTTAAAGAATTGTTTACTTGATTATTATTTAGGTGTATAGAAACAGAACTTTTGTTCCCTCTGTTGGAATGGTACCGCTTACCCACGCACTACGAAGAATCAGGTGTCCCCAGCTTTGATTAACTTCATCATAAATCCTTTTAACAATAGAAAGCTTAGAATCATTACCGCATACGGCCTATCAAACTGCTTCCAAGCAGGCGATGGAATAGACGATCTCACTAGTGATCTGGCAAATCTTCTATGACCCTTTGCTCACAAGGATACACAGTGATCCCAATCTGGGCTACACCCTTTCATCTGGCTGGAGTGCTTTCGAACAAGGCAAACATGAACTGAAAGTCTCCTGTACAGCATACGCAGACGTTACGGCGTAGATCGCTAGAAACAAAGCCGAAATGTTAAAGATCGTTGAAATATCAGGATTCTTCTTCACGCTCAACAATATTAACATAAATGGAGACAAATCTGAACTACTGGTATGGAATGGATCAAATCTGCAATCGAAATGGCCGGCATTACGCAATTTGACTGAAATTAAGTGTGGAGCTCATGTGACGGATAGTGCGTAACGAGTAGGATTTTGTTACTAAAAAAATCCCAGATACATTATGAAAAATGGAAACAAAGAGCGCGACGCCGGTGATGAAAAATATCACGTGATTTTTCGTGAAATTTTAGCAAAATATGCAAAAAAAACCTCGATCAGGAACTTCACATATCAACATTGGGTAAATCCAGAACACACTGACCTGTTAGTTGAATGCAAAGGATGCAATATCAGAAACAATACCACTGATATTGATTCTGCAGATAATACGCCTTGCATCAAATGAAGTCTTCACAAACACGCTACAGTCATCAAAGTACAGCTGATCACTACTCCTGCCAACGGCGCACAATACCGGATTATAACACCGAAAGATCTAATCAAAACGCGCACGATCATTACGAATCCCCCTTGGTCTCAACAGACGTGCCATTACTAGATCATGCAATAATCTCACGATTAGTTAGTTCTCCAACACTGGATCAAGAACTACGGGTCATAAACAACATGCTAACTCAATCGCTATCAGGTGATATACAAATCTATACAGACGGTTCCTTAGATTAATAGAAAAGATCGACATAATCACGTAATTATGTGCTCAGGAAAGATAATGACATTAGTTTCTCTTGCGAAATAAAATTTCCCCGGAACTCCTCGCAATATTAACTGCACTTTTAGCTTCCCCATCAGGACGCAAAGTAACAATCATTTCCAATCGTATGAAATTACATCACAACCGACACTTTTAAAACAACATAATTATATTCTCTTATATAACATAATAGATTTAGTCAACACGAAAAACAGAGATTTTAGTATGGTCAAAGTGAAAGGGCATGCGGGATGTCAATGGAATGACGCGGCATAGATTTAGCTTTAGCTGATAGTAATAGAATTTTAGATAGTAAAATGTTATGTAGTTATATTGCAATAGATAGGAACCTTAGAAACTTTACAAAAGAAGTTGCTAATTCGTTGGAGGAGGTCAAATGGTCTTCAAGCGGACTATTTCAACGAACACAAATCACAAATAGGAGTGCACTGGAACACTTATTGGTCTCACATAAAAACTATCAGCAAAAGTAACTGTACATCATTCTACACTAATGACTAATTTATTCATTTTATCAAGTGTTCGAACAACCTCCTTCACACAGTTGACAACTTACGCGAGAGGAACAACGCATACGATGAAATGCTCTGCCCATTATGCGTCGAAGTGGAGGAGTCTTTATCACACTTAGTTATATGTAAGGAGATGGAACAAGGCTTCAATTCGATCGAACGCGAAGTCACCGAAAAAATCGTGAAGCACGTTAAAAGCATTCAAAAAAATCTACTACCTCCTTTTCTATTTGGGAAAAGACTATTTTCGAATATAAAGACGCCGCTCTACCGGAATTGAAAGCACGTAACCGCGGATAACTACTAACAAGAGGTCTTATTTCTAATACTATCCTGTCTAACATACGGCGCGCAAAGCCTCCAAAATTATCGCTGGGAAGATAGTCAGACTTATCCACAACGCATTCCGCAAATACGTTTGGAAACCGCGATGCGAAAGAATGATACAAGCGGAAAAAGACGCCGGCATCACCAAATCTGTCAAACTTTTCTCAACTCCTTCATCCTCTACAGATATGGCGGGGTCAACCAGAGATTCTTTAATATGTTCGCCTTTGGCTTTGTTACGACATAGGACTTGCGAAAGCATATGCTATGAAGGGCTGTGGACTTCACAATTCTGAGATCGTTAGACACAAACCACTTTAAGTCTTGTGAGGAAGATCTTCATATGACAGATTTGAAAATCTGTACACTCACCCACCAACAGACGCGAACTCCTAGTCAACTGCATGAACAGGTGCAAGAATTACTTAGCCGACCTAGTCTACAACGGATCCAGGCAACCATGGAAGTCACGAAAATCATTTGCTTAATTGCAGTGCAGTGGGTCTTGTGGCCTACTAGGCATAGACATCAGGGCATTTCAAACGTCGCCTACCTGATTAGTCAACATGACCACCCAACAGTGCACATGTGGGGTTCCATAGCGGAATGACGAATGGTTTACAAGTTTATAATAATATTAGAATAGTTATATAGTTTTTTACTTTATGTATAATATCCTAATAAATTTGTAATGTACTGCGGTTAGCAAAAAAAAGGAACTTTTGTTTCACCTGTTCTATATTTTATGATTTAAGTATCATTATGTATCTACAAGTAAGAGAAATTTTTCAATAAATTGTATTGTAATATTTATGGATTAATTTAATAATTTTTCATTAGTAGTAATATTTTAATTTCTTTAAATTTATTATAGAAATTGCAAATAGTGTTACTGTTGAATTTCAATTATAGGAACAAATACTTTCAAGAATGACATCAATGCATATTTATTTTTTTTATACTCAATCTTAGAACAAGTTTGCTTCAGTAATATGCGTTCAAGATCCTAAACATACTAAGAAGGCAGCAAGAACATACTAAGAAGGCAACAAGAAGTGCTGTGACTGGTGCTTATCTCTCTTAACATGCACAATATCAATTCAATATTCTATCGCCAATTTAATTATAGATTGTTAAGATGATGCTGTAGCTTTTTTCATCAAATTTAATGTTTAAATCATCAGGAAATACAGCCAGGTATTTGAAAAGGTCCCTATATTTTTGTCTTTTAGAATAGGTAATTATTTATTATTTAAATAGATGTATTATTTGATTTACTAATATTATTATGTTTTTATATTATTTTAATAGGTAAAATGGTGATGGTTGTTTAATACGAATTCATATAACGATTCTTTAACTAATGTCATGATCGGGAAATTTTTTACGGAATGAAAAGGTCATATCGGGCGTTGTAAATTAGGTTAATTTAGTAATAAACGATAATTATCTTATAGTTATATAAACGTTAGATTATTTTATTGCTAAAAGTGTTATGTTATTCATTGTTAAATAGATTAATTGTTTATTAATCATTTATTAATTAAAAGATATATTATTCTATATTAGTATCCATATTAAAAATCTATGTTAAAAAATCTATCTAATTATCCAAAAATATCAAATAAAAAAAACACCAAATGCTCATTGCAGTTAAACCCGAAATCCAAAAACTACAAAAAAGAAAAAAGAGAAACGTTAGAAAACGTTTCAAATTCAAAAATTTTGTAATTACAAAACACGGTTCGAAATCTTTATTTTACGCATCATTAACTGTTAGTTTCTTATCTAAAAATTGAAAAAAAGATTCAGCCAATTTATTCTTTGATTGGACAAAATCGCCATCACATGACCACATAATTTTTGACCCAATTGAAAGTATATCATTTCTGCGTTAAATATTCTTATTTGTTTATTTACGAAATGTAGTTTCGCATATTCATGGTAAAAGAATTATTGTAGCAAAGAAGATTGATATGATAAGGAAATGGATCTTTAAATAATGTTTCCTTTTATTCTTTGGTGATGATGATATCACCATTCTGGTTTTATATATTGATCCTGTAGTTGTGTACCTCGGTACTTGCTAAATTTCGTGTTTGGCATGATAATAAGAATCGAATTTTTCTTCTTCCTAACAAAAAGTAGCCAAAAAAACAAAGGAAAAGAATCATTACTATCTAAAATAATGTTATTTTTAGTAGTAGCAATTTTTTTTTTGTGTAAAAACCAAGTGAACGTTGTCTAGAAATTAACCAAGTGTCGATTAAAGCAGTTAGTAAAGAACAAAAAAGATTGTTAATTTCTCTTTTACCATTTCACAAACTGTTTACCACAGGTAAACTATAATTTATCAATTAGATTAACCCAATGAATTTCACATCCGACTGTGTTAAAATTAAAAGTTCAACTTAAATACAGATCGGATTATCGAAAAAATATTTATTATAAAATAAATTGCTTAAATAATAATAACATATTGTATGATAAAATATAAAATAAAGATATTAGCATATTGTATGATAAAATATAAAATAAAGATAACATATATATTGTATAATAAAATATAAAATAAAGATTCATTCAATACTAATTTGAAAAAACCATATCCTTATTTCTCTAAAAGAGCCTCCGTCAAATCCTAATTTTTAAAAAATCCAATCTTGTTAGTTACTCTCGTATTCTATAACAGAGACAAACGTAATAAATATTTTAAAAATATTCAAATACTTCTTCTACTTCGTCGTCATCGTACAATTTAGTCCCAAATTTAATAACACCTAAATTTTCATATTTTTTAGCTATTTTCATACTTTCTTCATCTAATAATTTATTTTCATCTTTCTTAAGGATTATTAAAGAAAGTAATTTTTTTGGTACTCTATTTTCCCAGCTTATGAAAAATGATTCTAAATCTTTCGGAGATACAAATTTTAAATATTTCGAAGATTCTAAATCTTCCGGAGATACAAATTCTAAATCTTCCGATTCTAAATCTTCTGGAGATACAATTTCAAAATGTCCTGGAGATGCATATTCTAATTCTTCCGGAGATACAAATTCAATATCTCCCGGAGATGCAAAATTTGAATCTGAATCAGCATTATATATTTTTAATTCATGAAAACTATTTGGTGAATGATTTGCAACAATTTCTAATACTTCTGTTTCGTTTAAATATTCTACCCCACACCAAATTTTAATGCTTTCCAAGTATTGACATCTAATAAATATTGCTTGTAATAAATGTAATTCATTACTTTTAAAAATTACAAAAAGACTTTGAAGATTTAGACAAAAATTAGCAATAGATGAAATTGCTGCACTCTCAAGTTCACATATAAAAAGCTTTTTAAGGGTTTTCCCATTATTTTTTAAGAATTTTATTAAACTCTCAGGTTTTGGACGCTGAAAAGGTATTTTTAATACTTGTAATCTGGGAAAATGAGAGGCTTCTATCTTAACAAAATTCTCAATAAAGTCATCATCAACACCATCATCGGGTGGAAATGAAAAAATAACTTCTTGTAAATTTATGAAAAAACTAACAAATGATAATGGTAAACAAATATTATTACTATAAAGATGTAATTTTGTTATTGTATTAGATTGACTTTTTAAGGCGGGTACAACATTTTCCCAACTCACGTCAAAAGTTGACATAGCTAAATTTTTTAAATTTTTCTGTTTAGAAATTAATTCTTCTAATCCTTCTAGGCCTTTTAGACCATTAAAATCTATAAAAATTGTTCGTAAATTATGACTTATTTGTGAAAGTTGTTGAAAAAATTCAGAGGGAATATTTGAACCGCAGCGTAATTCTGAAAGTTTTCTTGCCCCAGGGAACTCAGTGAGAGGAAAACGGAAAAAATTAGGAGAAATATCTGAACCGCAGCATAATTCTGAAAGTTCTCTTGCCCCGGGGAACTCAGCGAGAGAAAATGTTATTTTATATTTATCTTGATATTTTTTATTATAAGGATAAATTAATTTTTTTAAAGATGAAATTTGGCTTGTAAACATTTGGAAAATTTTATCTAGTACTAGTAATTTTCCAAATTGATTAATATAAACATTTTCAACTATTTTAATAATTCTACAAATTGGCAAGACTTTGCAATATTCTGCATAGTTAAATAGTGGTGGTGAGAATGTAGAAAATGAAACAATTCTATTTTCAGATAAGAGTTTTTTTGATTTATTAGGAAGACATGCAATTAACATGTGAAGAATTGATGATTCCACTTTGGATTGACGAGAAATATCAGAACTATTAAAGTTCAAAACATTCCTCCATAAAATTCTAACGGAAGTTCTACACCAAAGGCGATTAACTAATAAACACGAATGTAAAGCGGGTTTATTTTGCTCCAAATTTTCAAAAATTTCATTTAAACAATCCGCTGGAAGTTTATATGCCATTTTTTTTTGCTATATTAGGGCAGAAGTTGGTTTAAAAAATATAAGGAGAAAAAAATTAATCGTTCATCGACTTTCTGTGTGATAAATATATAGAGTTTTTCCGGATTGTAGTGTGACAAAATCTTTTTTTAACCTTTATATCACGTGATGCTATTTTTTGGATTTCGGCATTCGGATTTTGGACGGATCCCCTAAAGTAATATACACTAGAAAAACGGAAACCGTTAAAGTTGTCGCGTTATTTATTCAATTTCTATTTCATCAAATAAAATAAGATTTTTTCTTAATCGTCGTAGTTTACATTAAATGTATGAATTCATGTAATGTGGAGTTTTGAAATTATTAAATAAAAGAATTAGAAATTATAAACGTATGTTAAGATAATAAGAGTAATATTTAAGGGGTATTGGTAGTAGTAATATTTTTAAGCAAATTTAAACGCAAAAATTACTTTTTTGACCCTCCTCGTGTTATTTTTTTATACTGTATGTATTACATATAGGAGGGGCAAAAGTATCATTCTTGATAGACCTTACTGTAAAATATATTATGCATATCAAAATTCTCCTGCATATCTATCAATCCTATCAATCAGGAGCGGATACTAAAAAGGAGTAAAACGTGTTGGCACGACAATAAAAATGATTGGTGGATTACGCGTGTGGACACTGGACAGGCATGAAGAGAGTCTAACCGTAAATGTCCTCAGCTAAAGCTTCGGACAAATAAAACTATTAATTATGGAATTACGAAAAATTGGTGTTAACAGTTAATTAAAAACGGTTAATACAAATATTATTTTTAATTTGATTTAAATGTGACGCGGATGATAAATTTTGTAACATAAAATAGTCTCCTAAATGAACAATATATTTGCAACGTGTAAAATCTATATGTAACTCGCATTGTTTTTTCCGAAAAAAGCTATAATCGAAAAGGAACGCCCCTTAATTAAAACGATAATATATATAATTATAATTGGCGACTTAATCAAATTTTTTTTTCTTTATTCACGAGCCAAATTGTAAGCATTTCCAAAACCTTGTATTACATCGGATTACAATATGATAAGATCAGAATATACAATAATTGTGTGCGCATAACTCCTTTTCCAAATCATCTCAAGAATAAAGAGAATAGAGAGAATATGTTAATTGATATGGAAGAAGCTCATTTGGCACACGATCGGGAAAGGAGAAGACGGAAAATTGATGAAGAGACTAATGAGGAGCGTGAGGAACGCTTAGCACGTGAGAAAGGAAGCGTAAAGTGAATGAAAAGACCGACGAGGAGCGTGAAGCACATTCGGTAGTTGAAGAAGAGGCTCGGCGCGCTCTTGCGCGTAAGAAATATTCGCTTATAGCAAAAGAAACTCCAAATCAAATTGCAGCAAGGCTTTCACAAAGAAGTCAAGTATGCGTCAAAAATATGCCTGCTGATCGGAAGCTTCTGTTCCAATTTCGCAACACAATGAACAATCTCTGTGAAACGTGCAATGGGCGATTCCCATATGTATGTTTGAGAATGATCCTAAAACAATATGGATCCAGGTAGGTATTAATTAGTATATTTCTAAATTCTAAATATATAACTAAATACTGTTATTTTCTAAAACTTAACTGATGTAGAAGAAATGCTGATCGCGCAAGTACTGAAGATGGATCCAATTTTCGGGATTTTTCATGTTCGTCGGGGAAAAGTAATGCGAGCTCTTCATTGGCTGAAGGCAAATAACAAATTCTATCGTGATAATGAAATATTACAAACTTTTCCCGAAAATGGTTCGATTGCGGAAAACTTCCACAATTCGCGGATGATAGAACTAATAGTTCTGAAAAAGAACCTGACGATGAAGACGAGAACGAAAATGAGGAAAATTCTTTCAACTCACAAACATTTGTTCCTTCATTACCCACCAGACTTAATGAAGACAGGGCAATTAATGAAATTCTCAATTGAGCGCAACATAATCATGAGAGAATTGATTGGCTGCATAACGAAGTTTCTCCGGTTGATGAGTTTCATACTCCTGGATATATAGCAAGAGCATTTCCTACATTTTATCCTTGGAGAGTTACGGACCTTAATGAAAGAAATAAAACCGACGGAATACTTTAAACATCTTTTAGTCTATAATGATGGTCGATTTGCTCGTCATCGACGGTGGCGTTACTTTGCCCTAAATTCATTAATGAGACGGAGTCTTATCAGAAGGTCGCGTATTAAATTTAGAGGAAGGACAGTAGCCGAAATATTGGATTTAATGCAAGACGATACTCATAGCAGACAAAGTATTACGGTATGGTGAAGGTTTGAGTGGTAACATCACAAAGGAACACCAGAAATTGATTAGGAAAAGATGAAAAATAATGATGAAATAATGGAAAAAGTAGTACATTGCTTGGATTCTTTAGTTACAACAATCAATCCCGCACTTCCTCCTGATCACCACCAATTCCAAAAACGCTCTAAAACCTTAATGATGATATGCATGACTACGCTGAATTGATCGATAATAATGATCACCTAGAACTAACAACTGCCAGAAATGATCCACTTATAAATCCACATGATCGCATTCAATTACAGGGATGAAGGGCGCATGCTGCTTTACAAGTATGCTAGTAAAGCAAAACGACGGTCCTTAGGGTCCTTAGCCTTCTCAGAAGTGTTGGACAAAGCTCTTCGTAATGATAACCCAATGATCCAGCTGTTAAAGCATTCCAAAAGTTGCTCATTCGCACAGTCGGAGAACGTGATTTTTCGGTGCAAGAAACTTGTCATCTTCTTCAATTACCGCTCTATCATAGTAGCCGAAATTTTGTCAGTCTAAAACTTAACAAAGAAGCGAATCGACAGCTTCGAGATAGTAATGAAAATGATCCAAATAATGAGAACAATGGAATTATGAAAACAGATCCCTCACCTCTACAAAGATATTGTAATAGACCTGCCGAACTTGAGGAACTTTCATTGTTCAAATAGGATCAGCAATATAAATTAGTAAAAGGCAACTCCATCTCCCATTCGAAATGGTCCTGGAATTTTGTCGTATAAAAGTCCTCTTACATGTTCGTTATAGAGACCTACTTAGCCTCACAGAGAATCACACTCTTTCATGGATTGATATATATTTTATATAATTAACATCTTGTAGAAATTAATGATGACCCTAATGAACCTGCTGTGGATGATATAGAAGTTGATGGTAACGATTCTGATGAAGAAGATGACACACCACAGGAAACGTATGAACTTCGAACTGACCGGATGTTATTGGCTGAAATGATGTCAAATAGACAGACGCGTAGCTTAGATGACTTTAGTGCCCGTGATATTGATAGAAATCACGACTTTACTTCAAATTCCTGAAAGGTTGTACTTTTTCTAATAATCATATGATAGATATCTTAGCCGCCGTTCCAAGCTCTAGTAATAGCTACATGTATCCAGGGTTGACGAAAGTTTGCTACGATATCCTGAAATTGAAGAGGCAGAAAGCTTCATCCAGCAAGCAATTGGTAACTCAAGTTGGAAATAATTCAGCTAGTATCGACATTAGAACTCTAAATGTGAAACAAAGGTTAATACGTGAAAGTGTAGAATCACATTGTATTGGCAAAATAACAAATCAATCCATAGAACCTTTACGAATTATTATCATGGGTACTGCTGGAACCGGTAAATTTTACCTTATTAATGCTTTCGAGGAAGGTTACATGAGATCGCAAAGGAACATAACTTACATGAGAACAATATGGTAGTTGCTCCAACAGGTGTTGCGGCTTTTAACATCGAAGGCAGCACTATACATTCATCACTTTCTGTTCCAATATGCGGGGTAAA